TGTCTTATTTGGAGAAATGTCTACTTAGGTCTTCTGCTCATTTTTTGACTGGGTTTTTTCTTTTTTTTTGGATATTGAGGTACATGAGCCCTTTGTATATTTTGGAGATTAATCCCATGTCAGTTGCTTCATTTGCAAATATTTTCTCCCATTCAGAGGGCTGTCTTTTTTTATCTCATTTATGGTTTTCTTTGCTGTGCAAAAGGTTTTTAATTTAATTAGGTCCCATTTGTGGGTTTTTTTAAACATCTTTATTGGAGTATAATTGCTTTACAATGGTGTGTTAGTTTCTGCTGTATAACAAAGTGAATCAGTTATACATATACATATGGTCCCATATCTCTTCCCTCTTGCATCTTCCTCCCTCTCATCCTCCCTATCCCACCCCTCTAGGTGGTCACAAAGCACAAAGCTGATCTCCCTGTACTATGTGGCTGCTTCCCACTAGCTATCTATTTTACGTTTGGTAGTGTATATGTCCATGCCACTCTCTCATTGTGTCACAGCTTACCCTTCCCCCTCCCCATATTTCCATTACTCTAGGAGGTGGGTCAAAATGGATCTTACTGTGATTTATGTCATAGAGTGTTCTGCCTATATTTTCCTCTAAGAGTTTTATACTTTCTGACTTTATATGCAGGTCTTTAATCCATTTTTAGTTTATTTCTGTGTATGGTGTTAGGGAGTGTTCTAATTTCATTCTTCTACATGTAGCTGTCCAGTTTTCCCAGTACCACTTATTGAAGAGGCTGTCTTTTCTCCATTGTATATTCTTGCCTCTTTTATCATAGACCATAGGTGCATGAGTATATCTCTGGGCTTGCTATCCTGTTCCATTAATCTATATTTCTGTTTGTGTGCCAGTACCATACTGTATTGATTACTGTAGCTTTGTAGTATAGTCTGAAGTCCAGGAGCCTGATTCCTCTAGCTCCATTTTTCTCTCTCAAGGTTGCTTTGACTATTCAGAGTCTTTTTTGTTTCCATACAAATTGTAAAATAGTTTGTTCTAATTCTGTGGAAAATGGCATTGGTAATTTGATAGGGATTGCATTAAATCTGTAGACTGCTATGGGTGTTATAGTCATTTTCACAATATTGGTTCCTTCAATCCAAGAACATGGTATATCTCTCCATCTGTTTTTGTCATCTTTAATTTCTTTCACCAGTATCTTACAGTTTTCTGAGTACAGGTTTTTGCCTCCTTAGCTAGGTTTATTCCTAGGTATTTTATTCTTTTGGTTGCAATGGTAAATGGGATTGTTTCCTTAATTTCTCTTTCTGATCTCTCATTGTTAGTGTATAGGTATGCAAGATAGTTCTGTGTATTAATTTTGTACCCTGAAACTTTACTAAATAGCTCTAGAAGATTTCTGGTGGCATCTTTAGGATTTTCTATGTGTAGTAGAATGCCATCTGCAAACTGTGAGCATTTTACTTCTTTTTCCAATTTGTATTCCTTTTATTTCTTTTCTTCTATGATTCTCATGGCTAGGACTTCCAAAACTATGTTGAATAATAGTGGCGAGAGTGGACACTCTTGTCTTGTCCCTGATCTTAGAGGAAATGCTTTCAGTTTTTCACCATTGAGAATAATGTTTGCTGTGGCTTTGTCATATATGGCCTTTATTATGTTGAGGTAGTTTCCCTGTATGCTCACTTTCTGGAGAGTTTTTATCATAAATGAGTGTTGAATTTTGTCAAAAGCTTTTTCAGCATCTATTGAAATGATCATATGTTTTTTATTCTTCAAGTTGTTAATATGGTGTGATTCGTGTATATTGAAGAATCCTTGCATCCCTCAGGTAAATCCCACTTGATCGTGGTGTATGATGCTTTTAATGTGTTGTTGGATTTGGTTTGCTAATATTGAGGATTTTTGTGTCTATATTCATCAGTAATATTTGTCTGTAGGCTTTTTGTGATATCTTTGTCTGGTACTGGTGTCAGGGTGATGGTGGGCTCGTAGAATGAGTTTGGAATTATTCCACCCTCTGCAATATTTTTGGAAGAGTTTGAGAAGGATGGGTGTTAGCTCTTCTCTAAATGTTTGATAGAATCCTCCTGTGAAGCCTTCTGGTTCTGGACCTTTGCTTGTTGGAAGATTTTTAGTCACAGTTTCAATTTCTTTACTTGTGATTGGTCTGTTCATATTTTCTATTTCTTCTGGTTCAGTCTTGGAAGGTTGTAGTTTTCTAAGAATTTGTCCATTTCTTCCAGGCTGTCCATTTTATTGGCATATAATTGCTTGTAGTAGTCTCTTCCAATCCTTTGTATTTCTGTGGTGTCAGTTGTAACTTCTTTCATTCCTAATTTTGTTGATTTGAGTCTTCTCTCTTTTTTTTTGAGTCTGGCTAAAGGTTTATCACTTTTGTTTATCTTCTCAAAGAGCCAGCTTTTAGTTTTACTGACCGTTGCTATTGTTTTTTTTGTGACACTAAGAAAGAATTAGGTTTTTAATTCCCACAAAACACCTTTCAGCATGCTTAGCTTTCTGATAACACCGTCACCTGCACCAGTTTTGTTTTGGGGGTTTGTTTTTGTTGTTGTTTGTTTTTAGATCTAAAGAACATGAAAATCCTTTTTTGACAAGGCTTAGAAAGCTGACACTATCTCTTTTTTCCTCCCTCTATATGAAGGATGTATTTAAATGAATGTTGGTTAGTAAGACATTTGTCAGCTATGGGTACTGGGTGCTTAACTGTCTAATGTTACCATTTGAATGTTGTATATGATTGTAAGGCTTATGTGACTAAAGATTTTTATTTTTATTTTTCATGAGCAAAATTCATATGATATTGTATAGACATGTTTTGTAGTGAACTATAGTAGCAATAATTTCTGTACATGATCTAGGATTTATTCCAGCATTTCTTTTCCTTTTTTTTTTAAACAAAATATTTTATTTAAATTAAAAAATGATGGAAATAGAAAAGTCTACATAAAGATTTTAGAAGGAGAACTTACAGGACACAAATTTTGATTCATTAGATGAGACACTTGGATGTGATTCCAAAAGCTTTTATTGAGCATTGCCAAATTTGTAAGCTTCATAGGGATGGACATTATATTTATAAATTCCCTTCTATAAGGGTTACTGTAGATGTGAAATTCTTGACCTTAATATCATCTTTGAAAATATTAAATTGAAAATTCTGTTAACTTATATTTTAAGAATAGGCATATTGTATTACTGCAAGAGATTTGATATTCAGCAGAGTGCAAAGTTCTTTCAAATGCACATGTCTGTTTTTCTAATTTCATTTTGTTTTAAAGCACTTTTTAAGTGTAGTTTTCTCATTTAGTAAATGTCTAATTGAAGAAAAGAGAAAGACAATAGAAATACATAGCTTATCACCATTAACTTTTGGGTGGGATTCTTTGTACCATGTCACCTCAGGCCATGTCATCTTACCAATAGTAATGCACCACTGTTAAAATTAGTGTCCATACTAGATTAGAACTCTGGTAACAGGGGACAGAAATTTTTTTCTACATAGGATTTTACAAAATACAGACTTTGGGGGGGGGGGGTGCTCACCTTACCAGAGAGTCAAGAGTTAGCTTAATCCTCACCAGTGTCATGTGCCCTCTCAAGGTACACTGAACATGCTCTGTTCTTTACCCTCTGTACCTGAGGCAGAGGTCAATAGGTCTAATGGCTTTCACTTAAGTCACACTTTTTAAATGTTTTAAAATTACTTCAGCCATTAATCTCATAACTTTTCTACTCTATCCCATAATAAAAGGAGTCAATTCTGCCTTTCTCTTCCTTAGTTTTTCATTTTGATTTACATCTTCGCAGGCTGATGGAGAGGTAACACTATTAGAATATATACGTATATATATATATTTTTTTATTATTCTTTTTGAGTTTTATCTTTTCCTTCAGAAATACCAATTATCTTTATATTGGATTGTCTTTGACTGGTTTTATGTCTATTAACTTCTCTCTAACTCTTAAATGGCTTTATCTCTTCATTAAAACCATTATTAAGTTTTTCTTCTACATAAGTCATTTGATATTATGCTATATATATTCCCCTATTGTTCATAATTACTTATATATTATCTTTGTTGTTATTCTTAATTAGTTTCCTAAGTTATAAATAGTTCTTTTGATAATACTGTGTTATTTTATCACCTCATTTTTTTGGCTTTTTGGTATGAGTCCATTTTAAATGTTCTATCTCTTCAAGTACCTGTGAAGAATATCTTTCCATTGTTCAGTTTATGTTTCTTCTTGAGCTGGTTGTCATTTCCCCCTATCTTTTGTGTATTATGTCCTTTTCTTCTGATCCCCTTCTCATAGTATATTTACATTCTGTTTTTTCATCATATTCATGCATGTATAGTTCTGTCTCCATCTTTTATTTGTTTCTTGAATGGAATGTGACCGGTGAGATGTCTGGCTGGAGTGGACCTTGGACTCTGCAATCTTTCCAGTGGAGATGAGGGAAGATGACTGAAGACAAGAGATATTTTGATGGCTGGTCTTCTGCATATGGATGGTTCTTCGTCCTTTCTGGTGACACCATACACTAATAATATCGCCTTATTTTTCTGCCCCAACATCCCCGATTATACTTTACACCTAAAGGAAGACAGGTGCTACCATTACATACTTGTCTTTTCTGTGTTTGGTAAATCTTGTAGTAGCAATCAGGGACCTGAGACAGGGTTCACGCCTCCTTGCTGATCGTATGACAAATATTCATCTGGTCTGTTGTGTCTGAGCCCCCCCTGGTGGCTTCCACAGTCTCCAGGCTTAGAACCCACCCGTTTTGCTCTCATCTCCCATCATTGTACATTCACTTCTCTTCTCTATGCAACCCAAATGGCCATTTTACTCCTTCTGTTTTGTGATTTTAAAATACTCTTCATATTCATGTCCTAATGAGAACTACTGTCCTTGTTTTCAAGGAAGAATATGATATATTTAAAACTTTTTTCTTTTATTTCTACAGTGTGTACTAGGAAGAAGAACTATCCAAGTCTTCTGAATTAAAACTGAGACTCAATCTACATTGAACTTCCTCAGAAAGATATGCTTTTCTGAGACATCTCAGCTGGCTCCCTAAGTGTGTTCACTCTCCCTCCTTTTATTCTTTTCTTATATTTATGATCAAGGAAAATGAAATGGTATATCAGTGCACATCTAAATTACAAGTCAATATATAAACTTTGCAGTGTTTTCACCCAGGTTTATCCTGACAACTACTTTCTAGTGCCTCCATATTTCACCTTCTATCATAACTTCAGTAGTACAAAATCTCTTATATTTAGTCATGGAATATGCAGATATAATTTGGTTATAACATGTTGCTTGCATCCAGACCCTGGCTTCTTCTCAGTGAACTTGAAGTTACTAAATTCTAAAGTAACATAATATTTTCTAAACATCTTTATTGGAGTATAATTGCTTTACATTGTTGTGTTAGTTTCTGCTGTATAACAAAGTGAATCAACTGTATGTACACATATATCCCCATATCCCCTCCAGAAGGAACAAAGAAAAATCTTTAAAATCAAAAGATAGCTTTAAAAAGTATATATTAATTTCCAAATAAAAAGATGTTGGTTAACCCAGAAATGAAATGGCCAAGCAGGTCCAAATCATATTTCTTTTGTTCCACATCACTTTCCCTCCTTACCCAGCACTGATTCTGGATACAGGAGCAGAAGAGGGTCTGTGGTGGTCTGGCTAAGTACCAGTTGTTCTCTCAGTGTCTGAGTCCTAGAGTTTTGGCTTGTGCTGATGCATGTAAAGATGAGAAGAAATGAAATAAGCTTAAGAGATTTGGAGGAGATCAGATTGCAGACATCAAGAACAGAAAAAGTTGAAACACTAACAAAATGGGAAGAATAACTGATCAAAAAAGAGAATTAGGTGAATCTGAAAGAAATGACATTAAGAAGGACAACAGGAATACATAACATCACCGTTAACCTAGGGGCAGGGCCTTTTGTAGCCTCTCACCTCAGACCATGTCATCTTATCAATGGTAATGCACCACTGTTACAATCAGTGTTCACACTGGATTATGACTCTGGTATCAGGGGACAGAAACATTTCCTATATGAGATTTTACAAAATAAGGACTTTTTTTTTTCCTGGTTCACCTTACCATAAAGTCAAGATATAGCTTAAAACTTGATTGTTGTCTTTTCTCATCTTTCCTTTTCCTCCTTTTCATTCCTCAACTCAATAAATTCTTTGTTGATAATATTCTTCAGCAAGTTCTCCTAGTAGATTTGAGCAAATATCCTACCAGATTCTGGCCCTGCAGTAGAGGCATCTGCTTAGGTTTCAGCAAAAGTTCCTCAACAGAGTCTCATTGAACTGACTTGGACCTCATACCATCCACGAGCAAAACACTGGTCTTAGAGAAAATGTGCTTTGAATTGCGCCTACCTTGGTCATATGTCTATTCATTCAGCTCAGTATGTACAGCTCACTCTCCATACAAGCCAGACATAACAATTTGATGATGGTGCATTTTGCCCAAACTGCATCCTTCCCCTACTGCCCTTCTCACAGTGATTACTCATCTCCGAGTAAAAGACAAAAGGTCAGATCTCATCTCAATCCATGCTTCCACTTACTCCCTCTGCTCCCTTCATCCTGTTTTCCTTGAATATTCTTTGGAGACTCAAGGCAGGTTCCAGTTTAGGGCTTTTTTTTTTTTTTTTAACCCTCTGGTGCTTCTTCCTAAATTGTCCACCTCCCACATTTGTGGACATGGCTCATTCTCTCACATCCTTAAAATCATAGTGAAGCTTCCTCTGCCCATCTTATTGGAAACTGAAGCTCTCTCTGTGCACATCTTATCTACCTTATTTGCTTTATTTTCCCCAGAACACTTATCACTATCTAAGAAATTGTATGTTTTTTAAATTTATTTAATTCACGGTGTCATACCAGACCCCACTAAATTGTAAAATTCTTTAAGATAAGCAACCACTAGGTCAGTAACCTATACATAATAGATTTTCAGTAAACTATTTATTGAATAAATCAATAAATCAGTTTGTGAATGAATATGAATCTTTGAGTGGGGAAATTTCTGTAAGGTTCAGCTGAAGAGGATATTGAGTTGGTCAAGTACCATGAATGAAAGTACTATATTATAATTCTCCTGTTTGTATTGTTTGTATTGTATTCTTTACTGTTTGTAAACTCTATTTTAATTGATAGCAACTTTTACCTCTCCTTATTCATCACCAAGAAAACCACATGTAAGCTATCATTTTACTCATCACTTCATCTGGATTTCCAACTTCTCATGCTCAAAACATGGAAGAAGTGATAATACTTTTCTTTCAGTGTTACTCGCATCATTAACTGAACTTATGCATGTGAAAGCCATTAATACACTAAAAGCACACCCACAAAAAGACTTATAATTACAGATATTTATAACCATTGTTTGTGTTTACATGTTTAAAATACATTTGTTACCATTAGGCTAATCAAAGAAATTCAAGTACAAAAGTAATATTTTTGTTTTGATTTCCTTGCCTTAAGGAATCATGAACATTGAAGCATATTTTGAAAGAATTGGTTATAAGCACTATAGGAACAAACTGGACTTGGAAACATTAACTGACATTCTTCAGCACCAGATCCGAGCCATTCCCTTTGAGAACCTTAACATCCATTGTGGGGAAGCCATGGAATTGGGCTTAGAGGCCACTTTTGATCAAATTGTGAGGAGGAACCGAGGTGGGTGGTGTCTCCAAGTCAATCATCTTCTGTACTGGGCTCTGACCACAATTGGTTTTGAGACCATGATATTGGGAGGGTATGTATACAACACTTCAGCAAACAAATATAGCAATGCCATGATTCACCTCCTGCTGACGGTGACCATTGATGGCAAGAACTACATAGCTGATGCTGGATTTGGACGCTCTTACCAGATGTGGCAGCCTCTAGAGTTAATTTCTGGGAAGGATCAGCCCCAGGTGCCTTGCACCTTCTGCTTGACAGAAGAGAGAGGAATTTGGTACCTAGACCAAATCAGAAGAGAGCAGTATATCCCAAACCAAGAATTTCTTAATTCTGAGCTCCTGGAAAAGAATAAATATCGGAAAATCTACTCTTTTACTCTTGAACCTCGAACAATTGAAGACTTTGAGTCTGTGAATATATACCTTCAGGAATCTCCAGCATCTGTCTTTACAAGCAAGTCATTTTGTTCCTTGCAGACCCCAGAAGGTGTTCACTGTTTAGTGGGCTTCACCCTCACCTACAGGAGATTCAATTATAAGGACAATACAGATTTGGTGGAGTTTAACACACTGAATGAAGAAGAAGTAAAAGAAAATCTAAAAAAAATATTTAATATTTCCTTGGAGAAAAAGCTTGTCCCCAAACATGGTGATAAATTTTTTACCATATAGAGTAAACAGTAAAAATGGTCTCAGTATTACTTCTGGTGCTGTAACTTTTTATTATAAAACAATTGAAACGTCTATAAAAGTAGAGAGAATGAAATAATAAACCTGCATTTGTTTATCACTCAGTTTATCAGCTATAAACTAGAGGCCTATCATATTTTCTCAATGCTCCCACATTATATTGAAGAAAATGCTAGATAACAAATCATTTCACCTTTAAAAATGTCAGCATATATAATTAGGTAACATTTAAAAAAAATAACCATATACCTTTTCAAAAATAATAATAGCAAAGATGTTTTAATGATGGCCTACGGCTTTCTTGAGGAAAAAGTGATTTATGCTAGAAAACTTTCCACATTGGTTAATGTTGAATTCATAAAACATGTTTACCTATAATTCAGTAACTAAAACCTTGAGGGAAACTTTTTAATTAAATTCTACCAGTGTATATCCAATGTCATATTTGTGCAGAAATACCACATGTATAATGGGATTATAATTCAACCAAAAAGAAAGAGAAAAAGACATTGCTTCCAAATAACCTAATATTTCTCAAGACAAGGTGTAAACCAATACTTGTTAGCATGTGATCAAGTACCAAGAGAGGGACACAACTAATAATTTCTTACATGGCTCTTTTTGTAACCACAGTTCTTCAAGTACCATTTTTCTTAATATGGGAACACTACTATTTATCATTTTCAAATTTTGGAACTCAGTATTTTTGCTTAAAAGTAATAAGTACTGCAAATTTAAAAATACTTATTATCTAAAAACTTCATATTGGAAAAGTATGTTTAAACATGTTGGCCAATACAATATCAGTCATAAAATTTTTGTTTGGCAGAGTTAGGTTATTATGGGGTTTTTTTTTTTTTTTCCCTGCAGTAGTCTTCCTTGAATCCTCTTTCTTGTCTCCCAGTTCTATTCTTTTACTTCCTTTTACACTTTGTTGTAAGAGAAAGAGTATGTGCTTCAAAGTGTACAGTTCCGAGGGGCTTCCCTGGTGGCGCAGTGGTTGAGAGTACGCCTGCCAATGCAGGGGACACGGGGTAGAGCCCTGGTCCAGGAAGATCCCACATACCGCGGAGCAACTAAGCCCGTGTGCCACAACTACTGAGCCTGTGCTCTTGAGCCCGTGAGCCACAACTGCTGAAGCCCATGAGCCACAGCTACTGAAGCCCGCACTCCTAGAGCCTGTGCTCCGCAGCAAGAGAAGGCACTGCAATGAGAAAAAAAAAAAAAAAAAAATTGGCCCAAAGTGTACAGTTCCGACTTCAAATCCTGTGGACACCAGGTGAATTAACTGATGAATCTGTGGCTCCCATTCCTCAGGGATAAAATGGGGACAATACCTATATGAATAAGTGCCAAACATAAAGCACCATCTTCCTTCCCTCTCATTGGCATTGTTCAGCTCTGCTGCTCTCTTGCATCATGGTTAGGTCGTATATGGTACTGTTGGACAGACAGGATTTTCTCACATTCTGAAAATACAATGCCAAGGGAGGAGATGTAGGCAAGAGATACATTCCAGATCAAAATGTGGTTCAAGAGAGGACCTTCAAGATGGCAGAGAACTCAAATATGGAGGTCACCTCCCCACAAATACATCAAAAATATATCTATATGTGGAACAACTCCTACAGAACACCTATTGAACACTGACAGAAGATCTCAGACTTCCCAAAAGGCAAGGAAATCCCCACATACCTGGCCATGTGGCTGACAGGGACTTGGTGTTCCAGAAGGATGTCAGGCCTGAGCCTCTGAGGTGGGAGAGCCAAGTTCAGGACGTTGGACCAGCAGAGACAACCCAGCCATACGTAATATCAATCACTGAGAGTTCCCCAAAGATCTCCGTCTCAACACTAAGAAACAGCTCCACTCAATGACCAGCAAGCTCCAGTGCTGGACACCCCATGACAAACAATCAGCAAGGAGCACAAACACATCCATTAGCAGAGAGACTGCCTAAAATCATAAGAAGTTCACAGACACCCCAAAACACACCACCAGACATAGTCCTGCCCACTAGAAAGACAAGATGCAGCCTCATCCACCAAAACACAGGCACCAGTCCCCTCAAATGGGAAACCTACACAACCCACTGAACCAACCTTACCCACTGGGGGCAGACAAAGAAACAACAGGAGCTACAAACCTGCAGTCTGCACAAGGAATACACAGTAAGTTAAGCAAAATGAGAAGACAGAGAAATAAGCAGCAGATGAAAGAGCAAGGTAAAAACCCACCAGACCAAACAAATGGAGAGGAAATAGGAAGTCTACCTGAAAAAGAATTCAGAGTAATGACAGTAAAGTTGACCCAAAATCTTGGAAACAGAATGCAGAAAACACAAGAAACGTTTAACAAGGGCCTAGAAGAACTAAAGAGCAAACAAACAATGATGAACAACACAATAAATGAAATGAAAAATCCTCTAGAAGGAATCAATAGCAGGATAAATGAAAATCTTCTAGAAGGAATCAATAGCAGGATAAATGAAGCAGAAGAACGGATAAGTGACTTGGAAGATAAAATAGTGGAAATAACTACCACAGAGCAGAATAAAGTAAAATGAATGAAAAAAATTGAGGACAGTATCAGAGACCTCATTATCAGGGACAACATTAAACGCCAAAAAATTCGGATTTTAGGGGTCCCAGAAGAAGAAGAGAAACAGAAAGGGGTTAAGAAAATTTTTGAAGAGATTATAGCTGAAAACTTCCCTAATATGAGAAAGGAAATAGTTAATCAAGTCCAGGAAGCACAGAGTCCCTTACAGGATAAATCCAAGGAGAAACACACCAAGACACATATTAATCAAACTATCTAAAATTAAATAAAAAGAAAACATATTAAAAGCAGCAAGGGGAAAACAACAAATAACACACAAGTGAATGCCCATAAGGTTAACAGCTGATCTTACAGCAGAAACGCTGCAAGCCGGAAGAGATTGGCAGGACATGTTTAAAGTGATGAAGGAGAAGAACCTACAACCAAGGTTACTCTAACCGCAAGGATCTCATTCAGATTTGATGGAGAAATTAAAACCTTTATAGACAAGCAAAAGCTGAGAGAGTTCAGTGCCAAAAAAACAGCTTTACAACAAATGCTAAAGGAACTTCTCTAGGCAAGAAACACAAGAGAAGGAAAAGACCTACAATAAAAACCCAAAGCAATTAAGAAAATGGGAATAGGATCATGCATATTGATAATTACCTTAAATGTAAATGGATTAAATGCTCCCACCAAAAGACACAGACTGGCTGAATGGATACAAAAACAAGATGCATATATATGCTGTCTACAAGAGACGCACTTCAGACCTAGGGACACATACAGACTGAAAGTGAGGGGATGGAAAAAGATATTTCATGCAAATTGAAATCAAAAGAAAGATGGAGTAGCAATTCTCATATCAGACAAAATAGACTTTAAAATAAAGACTATAACAAGAGACAAAGAAGGACACTACATAATGATCAAGGGATCAATCCAAGAAAAATATATAACAATTGTATATATTTATGCACCTAACATAGGAGCACCTCAATGCATAAGGCAAATGCTAAGAGCTATAAAAGGGGAAATCGACAGTAGCAAAATAATAGTAGGGGACTTTAACACCCCACTGTCAACAATGGACAGATCAATGAAAATAAAATTAAATAAGGAAACACAAGCTTTAAATGACACATTAAACGAGATGGACTTAATTGGTATTTATAGGGCATTTCATCAAGAAACAACGGAATACATTTTCTTCTGATGTGCTCATGGAACATTCTCCAGGGTAGATCATAACTTGTGTCACAAATCAAGCCTTGGTAAACTTAAGAAAATTGAAATTGTATCAAGTATTTTTTATGACCACAATGCTATGAGACTAGATATCAATTACAGGAAAAAAACTGTAAAAAATATAAACACATGGAGGTTAAATAATAAGCTACTAAATAACCAAGAGATTACTGAAGAAATCAAAGTGGAAATCAAAAAATACCTAGAAACAAATGACAATGGAGACACAACGACTCAAAATCTATGGGATGCAGAAAAAGCAGTTCTAAGAGGGAAGTTTATACCAATACAATCCTACCTCCAGGAGCAAGAAAAATCTCAAATAAACAGCCTAAACTTACACCTAAAGCAACTAGAGAAATAAGAAAAATAGTACCCAAAGTGAGCAGAAGGAAAGAAATCATAAAGATCAGATCAGAAATAAATGAAAAAGAAATTAAGGAAACAATAGCAAAGATCAGTAAAACTAAAAGTTGGTTCTTTGAGAAGATAAACAAAATTGATCAACCATTAGCCAAACTCATCAAGAAAAAAAGGGAGAAGACTGAAATCAACAGAATTAGAAATGAAAAAGGAGAAGTAACAACTGACACAGCAGAAATACAAAGGATCATGAGAGATTACTACAAGCAACTCTATGCCAATAAAATGGACAACCTGGAAGAAATGGACAAATTCTTAGAAAGGTATAAACTTCACAGACTGAACAGGAAGGAAGAGAAAATATAAGCAGATCAATCACAAGCACTGAAATTGAAACTGCAATTAAAAATTTGCAGTAAACAAAGGCCCAGGTACAGATGGATTCACAGACAAATTCTATCAAACATTTAGAGAAGAGATAACACCTATCCTTCTCAAACTCTTCCAAAATATAACAGAGGGAGGAACACTCCCAAACTCATTCTACGAGGCCAAAATCACCCTGATACCAAAAGCAAACAAAGATGTGACAAAAAAAGAAAACTACGGCCAATATCACTGGTGAACATAAATGCAAAAATCCTCAACAAAATACTATCAAACAGAATCCAGCCACACATTAAAAAAGATCAAACACCATGATCAAGTGGGGTTTATCCCAGGAATGAAAGGATTCTTCAATATACGTAAATCAATCAATGTGATACACCATATTAACAAATTGAAGGAGAAAAACCATATGATCATCTCAATAGATGCAGAAATATCTTTTGACAAAATTCAACACCTATTTATGATAAAAAATCTCCAGAAAGTAAGCATAGAGGGAACCTACTCAACATAATAA